TTTAATAGTTTTTAACTGTTCATTGTGGTGATGGTGTGTTTTGAAAATAGTCTAAATGGCAGAAATAAGCCAGTTTCCTTGAAATACTGAGAGACCCAGAGTTCCATAAGGCTAAATTCTGAGATCTCTTCTGCATTTCAGTCACGAAACATCATGTTGAAGCACTGGTGTTTTGGGAGGAAGTAGAAACTGTAATTGCCCACTTGAGAACCAACCTTCTGGTTTTTCGTTTGTGTTTTTCCTCAATCTGCCTGCCTTGTTTGTTAACAGTGCTAAAATTTGGCCTTTTCACTGTCAAAGACTTTGGCAATCTCCCCTTCTCCTTTCCACCTGTTACGTTTCTCCTGCATCTCTGCACCACCTCTTACCTAAGTGTTCTTTATATTGGCTGCCGTGCCTCTGTTACCCGCTCCTTATCAGGGACAGCCTGTATTGTCACGTAGATTTTGTGTGGGACGACATGCCAGCATTCCTGATTGCTAATCCCAGCTGTGCCACAGCTCTGTGGCAACTCGACTACTCTAGTTCCCACTCTTTAAAATGGGGTTAATGATATTTATGTAACTATTGGAGGTATTCGTAGATCAGCATGAATATGGCGTGCATTTATCTGTCATTATGTCGCTGGCTTTGTGGCGCAGCACCATCCACAACAGCTCATCCGTCACATTCCCGTGCCACCATTTTCACCAGAATTTGAGGTTTATGGACATCTTTACTCCTCATGATTGCTCAGGAGATTTAAATTGTCAGATACAGTTTGAAGCAAGAAGTTTGAGAGGTTAAGAACTACACTCCGCAGCCCTGCTGAATTTCACTAGAGACACTTCAACCTGTATTTCCTGTTCAGTGGAAAAACCTCCTGCTGAAGGCAAGGCCTGGGGCTGTCGATGGAGCCTGTGCAGGGCCTCCCTGCATGTGGCAACAGCCTTCTGTCTTCAACAGTTAGCACTTTGGCTAATTTACCTATTTTTTGTAAATTTAAAGCCAACAAAATTATATTTCACAGAGCTGAGTGTCTAAGCAGGGAAAACTAGTATCTCTTTTGATACTTATTTCTCAGTGTTACTCGCAGAGATTCTATTTATTCACTTTCTTCCCGCGTCTTCCCTGGGTTAGACTGTTCTGCGCATGTTGTTTGGGAAGACACTCTCTAAGGTGACATAACTTGTATTTCTCATGGCACCTGGACCTGAGGAGGTGGCACTGGTCTGGGTGTTATATTGGGCCCGGGAGGCAGCGCTTCCAAGGTCACTGTTGAAGCTGGGCAGCTCAGAGCTGCTTCTGTAACTCTAGCGCTTTTATAAATAGGATAGGCTGATTAGCAGTCTTATTTAATCTCCATCAATTAATGAGGATAAGCATTCATCAAGTGCAGCGTTCGTACCTCTTGTAAGATTTTCAGCAAGTGCATAAAGTCACTGTGCTTAGAGAAAAGTCCATCTCTTCAAAGTGTTTATTTTTTATAGTCCTCTGAAAGGGCCATCGAGGAGAAATTGTGACTTGAATTGAAACTATTGCTCTGTCCACAAACTGCTGTAACATTGGGTGCAGAATTTCCCCGTATGTAGTAACTGCTTCCTCTTTCTTAAGTCATTCTCTTTGTTTATTAACTCTGAATTCTGCTTTGCAACACCCTCAGTTTCCAAAAACAAGCAATTCCGCAATAAGGGAGAAAAATCCCCAATTACTAAACTCTCATATAGCGTAAACTGCTCTCAGTTTTCAGATTTCCCCTGAAATATTTTTCAGGGAGTCACATGTAAGAGTTGATCCAAAGATGTTAAAAATGACCTATTTAAAACAGAGCGGTATTGGTAGAATACATAATCTAGAAAGTAGAAACTTCCCTTTTGACAAATGTGAAGTATTGTTTTCATGTTTTCATCTATATAGGAGCCTAATCCTAATACTTTTTAAATTTATGACAATATTTCTGCTAATTTCAAGATTAATCCTCGATTCATGAATTGACAGAAGCAGGTTCAAGCTGCTATTAAAATCAAACACTCCTCTACTTTGTTTGTACTCTGGCTTTCAAAATTCATTTTCAGCTCAAGGACAGCCTAGAAAACTGCTGCTTATCAGGAGCTTTTGCTCATAGTTGTGATGTGAAGGATTCACATGCGTTCCCCAACAGCAGTTTCATGGCAGTAAACATTTAAATAGTGTTTTAAGGAAAGGTATCATGATGGTTACTGCAGTTAATTACCCTTATCAGAACCATCGCTTCGTCAGTGACGACATAATTTTACAGCGCATTTCCAAGTGATATGCCTATTTCTTAACATTTGGCTGGTACTGGTTTTGTCAGCCTTTGCGAGGACCATTTCCGTTCACCAATTACTCCTAAATGTAACCAAGCCTGAAGTTACTTATAGGAGTAAAAATGGAAGAAAAGGCCTGGCCAAACCCTCAACATGGGCAACCACCACCTGAACAGCCCCTCCATTTGCCCACACTAGGCTCTGCTGGTGTGGAGAACGGCCTGCTAAATGGCTGAGACAGGCTTGAATCTCGTCCTATCCAGCAGCCCTCCTCTTAGATACGCAGTGAAAATGTTTTTTTCGGGAAAAAAAACGGTTTTCTGGACTCTCTGCACGCGCCTCGCCGCGGACCCCGATCCCGCCCGCCGCCCTCT